CTCTCCCCGGCTGCTCCGATACACTCGATTCGCGCACCATGGCGGCAACGCTTGCAGCCCTGGGCCGGTCGTTCCTGGCGACCGCGCCGGACAATCCCACCCCGTGGCAGAACTTCTCGGCTGTCATTGGCTGGGTGCGTGGGCTTCTGTCTCTTCCTTGCTTCGCCGACCTGGCCGCCCCCCGCCCCCCCCCCCGGCGATCTGTTGACATGGCCGTGTGACCTCCCCAGACGTACTTCGCCGCGTGGTCCATCTCCTTTTATCCTCAGTTGATTGTTAACTTCCGGAGAAAGGCGTACGTCCTGTCCGGAACCTCGGCGGCATCGCCCCCCCCCTCCCCCTGCCCTCCTCCCTCCTCCCTGTTTCTCTGCTTCTCCCTCCCTCTCCCCTCCAGCATGTCCATCTCTGACGCAGCCTGTCTCAGTGTCACCGGCCTCTCCTTCGATTTTGTTGGCTACAACATCCTTGGCTTCTTTTGCATGACGATCTACAACTTCTCTCTGGCCCTGGCCCCCGGGGTGCGCGAGGAGTATGCCGACCGCAACAACGGCAAGGAGCCGGCCGTGGCGCCGAACGATCTGGCCTTCGCCATCCACGCGTTGGTCCTCACGGGCCTGGGGCTGGTTCAGATTTTCATTTTCAAGGTGCGTGCATGCGTACATGCGTGCATATGGGTATATCTATGCATGCATTTATGTGGGTGCATTGGCGCGTGGGCGCATGTCCATGTTCTCCGGGCTATTCACGGTCGGAGTCTCTGACCTCGGCCCCCGCCCCTCCTCCACCTTCTCTTGTGAACCAACCGCAGGGCGGACGTCAGCGCTTCTCCCGTCTGAGCATCATCAATATTGTGCTGGCCGTGGTGGCTCTTAGCCTGTATGCCCTGCTGCTGGGCGTGTCGGATCCCTTCCAAGAGAAGCGCCACTGGCTGGACTTCCTCTATGCGGCCAGCTACACCAAGCTGGTCATTTCCCTGGTCAAGTACTTCCCCCAGATGATCCTCAATTATTTGCGCAAGTCCACCGTCGGCTGGAGTATCCGGAATGTGTTGCTGGTGCGTGCGGCGGCCTCTTTGTTCTTTCTCTCTCTCTCTCCCCCCTCTGGGACTCCGTTCTGTTGGCTTGTCATCCGCCTCTCACCTCCCTCTGCGGCGTATGCATACACACGGACACACGGACACACGGACACACGGACGCACGGACACACGGACACACGGACACACGGACACACGGACACACGGACGCACGGACACACGGACGCACGGACACACGGACACACGGACACACGGACACACGAACACACGAACACACGGACACACACACACACACACACACACACACACACACACATGTGGCTGCTATCGCGCTGGCTCCCCTCCTCCCAAAGGACCTTGTTGGTGGCGTCCTCTCAGTGTCGCAGCTAATTATGGACTGCTGGATTGCCGGTGCGACCCTCCTCCTGCCACTGCCCTTTGGCGACCCTCCTCTTCTCTCCCAGACTCACCATTCCTCCCTGTACCCGGCATTCCCCCCCCCCCTTCCACTCCATTTGCCCTGCGTCTCCCTGGCTTGGTAGGCGACTGGTCCGGCATCACCGGCAACCCGATGAAGCTGCTCCTGGGCTTGATTTCCATGAGCTTCGACTTCATCTTCATGTTCCAGCACTATGTCCTCTACCGGTCGCGCGAGGATCCCGACGACCTGGAGTCTGGCGACAGCGCCAGCCTCCTGCGGACCCCCGACAGCCCGGACATCGGGCATGACGTGGACCCGGCCGACGTCCGGTCACCCGGGCCCTATGGCGATGTGTCTCCCGGAAGCAGCGCCTACTCCAGTGCCTATGTCACGGGACAGGCATCGCCCCGGTCGGTGGCCGGCCTGTCGGCATCCCAAAGCCCGGACCTCCTGCTGAAGGGCCAATTGGCCCCGGGAGCCGGGGGCAAGCAGGCCGCCACGCCCCGGGCGAGCCCCAGCATTCAGGGCTACGACGGTGGGCCACTGTCGCCAGCACCCTCGGCGGCATCTGCAGGCACCGACCCGCTGGCCAGTTACGGCTCGGTGACGCGCCTGAGCGCAGCCGGCGGGCCCCCCGACAGCAGTGGGCTATTGGCCGGCGGCATGGGCTACGACTCCAGCCCGCTGGCCGAGGATCTGGAGGGAGACAGCTCGCCGGAGTCGATCGGACAATCGCTCAAGCGCTGGGTTGTCTGGCTGACCGAACAGTCCTACCCGGAGGTGAAACCTTGACCGGCGCCCATGGGGGGGGGGGGGGCTGGTGTGCATCTGTGCGCGTTGCTCGTGCCATGCATCTGGCTCCCTCCTTAATCCCCCTCTCCTGCTGCCTCTCTGTCTCTCTTTCTCTTTGTCTCTCTCTCTCTCTCCCTCCCTCTCGCTTCCCCCTTGTGACCTTGAGTAACATTCATCCTTTTAGTTCACCTTGCCAGCAGGGCGCAGGTAGGTAGGGCGGCAGGGTGCTGGGATTTCGGGAAGGGGGGGGGGGGAAGTCTATATTTACCAGAGGCCAGTAGCATCGCGAACATCCTGCATGAAGCGCGGCTCCCGCTGGATGTATTCCTGGGGGGGGGAGGGGGCGGCTTGTCAGTTATCAGGGGGGGGGGGGGGGGGGGCAGCAGCTGGACCAAAGGAGGGCGTGGCTTCCTTCACGTACCGGGAACAGATCCTCGGCCGGATCGGCGGCTGGCTGATCGCCCTCGGCATCGGCGAAGGGACTGTCCTCGTCCATGCGGTTGGAGTCGGCCCGGGCCGCGCGGCTTCGGCGCACCGGTTCCGGGGCTTCAGTGACCACCTTCCCCCGAGAGGCGGGGTGCAGATGCAGGGTAAGCTTGCCGGTCCCGCTGGGGGGGAGGGCATGGACGGTGGCCGCTCGCAGGGGTCCCAGTGCCGGGATCATGGACGTCGTAAGTTCCAGCTCCTGCGCCGGTGCAGAAAGTCAGAGCCAGGCACAGCGTGTAATCGATGTCCATACGTGTGTGTGTGTGTGTGTGTGTGGGCCATTGCTGAAAAGGACGCACGCGGAAGGCAATCTGGCTGCCCACCTGGAGGGGGCCCGTCCGGAGGGGCAAGGCACACAGGGCTTCCTGCGACAGGGCAGCCATGGGCTCCGCGGCGGCAGCCATGGCCCGAGGTTCACTCGAAGCCAGCGGAGAGGGGGAGCCAGGAGCCGCCGCCGCCGCCGCCGCCGCCGCCGCCGCCGCCGCCGCCGCAGCAGCAGCAACAACGGTCGCCTCATCATCCGAGTCCTCAAAGCGCGTGACCGCCGGCGGGGTCCCGTCCAGGGCCCGGGCCAGGGCATCGCGGATGGAGGCATGTGCCGACGTGCCACGTTTCTTCTGGCTCTTCACCACCCCAGGTGTCAAGGGCCGTGGTTGCTGCTGTTTCTGTTTCTGCTGCTGCTGCTGCTGCTGCTGCTGCTGCTGAAGCTGGGGTGACGACGGTGCAGACACCGGGGTGTCGGGAACGGGAAGGGGCTTTTCCGCCAGAGCCGCCAGGGCCGACGTGATGGATGTCATGGGGAAGCCGCCTGGCGCGCGCCCACGAGACTGGCCCACCCGGCGACCGGGCCGGAGCAGGGGCTGCGTGGCAGCAGCGCTCGGTGTCAAGCCGGCCGCCTTCGAGATCGGCCCATCGGCCGAGGGGGAGCTCGTGACGGGAGCCGCAGCCGGAGTGGAGGGAGGAAGGAGCCCGGACGCCGGGGCCGGCGGGGAGAAGGACAGGGACCCGGCGGCGGCCAGCTCGGCGGCCGAAGTGGCCGCCCGGGGGGGAGGAGCCCGGCCAGCAGCAGGAGTGACAGCAGCAGCCGGGGCGGTGGTGACGGCGGTGGCAGCCGGCTTGATGGCGATGGCCTGGGGAGTGCTGTCGACGGGCGTGGCGGTCGGAGCCGGGCGCCGCGTGTCACGCGGCGCCCGGCCGGGAGTCAGCGCCTCCATGGCGACAGCGGCGCCGACCGGGCCAGCACCAGCACCCGTGGCAGGGGACTGGTCGGCGCCAGCCTCCTCGAGCACCGCCTTCGATTGGACCAGGCATCGGAGCCGGTCAAATTGCCGCTGGCGGCGGAGTCGCCGCGATCGACTGGTTTCACGCTTGTCCGGATCCGACGCGGCAGCCGCCACAGCGACCGGAACCGGGATGGCCGGCTGCTGTGGGACGCCCGGCACAAGGGCCGGGGCGGCTGCCTGTGCGCCCAGGGCCTCCTGGGGCGTGACCGGGGCGCCCTGGGGCCCGAAGGCGATGATCCTGCAGGGGCGGGGGGATGCAAAAAAAAAGAGGAGGCAGGCAGAGGGCGGGGAGCGAGATGGCGGTCAGCAGGGGGTGGCCCCGGGCAAGGGTCGGCCCCGGGCACGGCCACGCGGCGGAGGAGGGGCAAAGTGGAAAAAGAACCGGAGGCCGGCCTCTGCGGGACACACTGGACAACGTCGGATTCCTGGAGGGCGGAGGCCGGCAGGCCGGGCGCCACGAAGTATCCATCCACGAAGGCGGTGAGGGTGATCTGCGACGTGGGTGAGGTCAGGTGGGCCTTGCTGTCCCAGGGCAGGGGCGACTGGGACACCGCATAGCGCAGGACGTCGGCCACGGTGGCGAGCGGGGGGCTGTCCACCAGGGGGAGCAGGAAGCACGCGAGCGACTCGTGCGGCACGGCACTGCGCAGGGGCCCAGCCAGCTCAAAGCGCAAGCGTGGCTGGCGCCCGCCGCCCAGGGGGAGGCTCCCGTGCGGGGTCTGTGCCAGGGCCCGGCTGTGCGGCGTGGCAGCCTGCGGTGATGGCGCCCACTCGGCCGCTGACAGCGCGCCGAAAGCCGAACTCGATGGCCGCGGCCTGCCGGGCGCCGGGGTCGGCGGTGCCCCGTCGATCATGGGCAGCAGTGGCGG